GATTGTAGTATAGTATAGTATATTATAGTATGTTTTGGTATAATATCCCCAAGACCGGCTCCGCGTGTACTAACATCCCTGCACGAAGGTGGTTCGGCTGTTGGTGCGCGAGGTCTCTGGGGGTGTCTGCTCCCCGTGGCTCTCCGGCCTCCGCCCCGGAGACGTGGTGGAGTGCCTGGCTCCCCGCCGAAGTTCTCCGCTTCGAGCCGCCTGGGAGGCAAAAAAGGCCTCCAGGCTGCTTCTGGTGGCGAACGGCGCCGGCCTGGCGCCCTTTCTGGCCCTCTTGGAGGAGCTCTCTGCCGTTTCGGAATCTCGGCCCCCGCTGTACCTTTGGGTGGGGTGCAGAGAGCGCGCCGGCGGCCTGCTCTACGAGGAGAGGAATCCCTAAACCTGCTTGAACACCAAACGCAAGTTAGACGCCTGAATAATCATTTCCACAATTCCTTCAGGTTCGGGTTCCTTCTTATACTTATGTATATATTACGTATTACCTACACTCTACTTCCCATTTTTACTACAACTCAGGCCTTTTTCCTTTTTTTTTCTCAAAGGGCACCCTTAAAGCAACCCTAAACCCTAAACCCTGCGAGGAGAGGCTGGAAGCTCTGGAGGCCCAGGGCGCCTTGCGGCGGCTCGCCGTGGCAGAGTCCCGGCCCCGCCGGGCGCCGCCCGGAGAGGCTCCGAAGCCCTGGGTTCAGGACTTTAAGGGGGGGAAGGGGTTTAGGGATTAGGGGTTTTAGGCTTGGGGTTTGGGGTTCAGGCGTGGAACGGTTAGGGGGGGGGAGAAGAATTGACAAAGGAGGGGGGGGAGATGAAATAACATCATTGTTGGTGAAATAAGAGGAGGAAAGGTTTAATAAATGGGGGGAGGAGGGACTGCGGGTTTTGGGTGTTGGGTTGAAGGCAGTTCAAGGCTACTGGAAGAGTTTCTTTAAGGGTTATTATGCTAGAGAGTTATTTTGGGTTTTTTTGGGGGTAGAAAAGGGGCTCATTGGTATAAGGCTTAGGCTCAGAAGCCCTGTGTTCAGGACGAAAGGGGCTACTGTAACAGTGGCTATAAAGGTTGCTAGAGGGGTTACTATAGAGGGGCTACTATAGGGGATCTTATAGACTACCAGGGTCCTGGGTTCAGGACGAAGGGGGCTGCGGGTTTCGCTTTTCTACGGGCTCTTGGTTCTTATGGGCACTGATACCGGTACTAATTAGTATAAGGCTCAGAAGCCGTGGGTTCAGGACCAAGGGGGCTTCGGGTTTCGGGTTTAATTAGGGTTTATCGCCTGTTAGAGTTGTTCTAGGGTTTTTTGGTTCTTATGGGGACTTGGGGGTACAAAAGGGGCTAAATCAGTATAAGGCTCAGAAGCCATGGGTTCAGGACGAAAGGAGCTACTGTAACGGTTGCTATAAGGGTCGCTACAGGAGGCTACTACAGGGGTTCTTTGTTCTTATGGCATAGGAGGTCTTGAGGACGGGGGTCACCACAAGGGATTACTATAACTGTTGATGATATAAATCCTGCAATACCTTAAGGACACTTGACTATGGGAATGATGGTATATTCCTTATTGTGTGTAATGCAGGATTTTTGTCATCAACAGAGGGGTTGGTGTCGGGCTTACCATGGGGGTCGTAGAATGATTGCTATCGTTAGGGGTTTAGGATTTAGGGTCACGATGGGCCGCTTAGGGTTACTATGGGGGCGCGACCTGTAGTACAAGGCTCCTTATAGAGGTTACCATAGAGATTCGTAGGGAAGTACTCTAAGGGTTGCGACAGGGGTTGTTACAAAGTTTTAAACTTTCCTAAGCCTTTATCCCTAAACCCTAAACCCTGAACTGCTTACCACGAGACTTCAGGACGTGCTGAAGGCAGAGTCTGAGGAAGTCGGCGAGCTCTTGCGGCTGGCTTTGAAGGTCATGTCTTGGGTTTGGGGTATAGTATACTCGATACATACATGAGCTTTCAGGGAAGGTGATTACCAATGACTTTTAAACCCTTATCAAGCTATATAAACCACCTGTTTGGAGTTTTGCGGCTTTGCACTTCGTATGAGACTTGGCAGCTTTTCATGGAGTTTCTGCTGATTCTGTGCAAGTTCACCTAATGTAATGCTTACATAAGCCTCTAGCATGATCCTGATACAGCTCTACAACAGCTCATTAACCCTAAACTCAAAATTGGGAAGGCTGATATTACGAGATTCCTGAGCTTGTGCTTCTATTCTAAAACCCTGCAGTAAGCACCCAAGATGAACTGACGCATGCAAGGTTCGGATCGCCTACGCAGCCTGAAACCGGGTTGATGCTGGTTTGTGGATCGGTCGCCATGGGCTGCGCTGTGCCCGGGGCCCAGAACGCATGGTTCACGGGCTACTTCTTGAGGTGTAGGCCTAGGCTCTTGGCCGTGTTGTAAAGATGCCGATTCCGTGTGAAGAAGATTGAAGGCGATTATTGAGTCACCACCCCTGCTGACCTAGTCTAGTCTTTATCTATTCCGATGCCGTTCGGCAGCCTCTCAACAGCCTCAACGACTGTCAACCCTCTGGAGACTCACGTCCCTGCATGGCAGGCGAGATGTTGTTTCCGTGATCGCGCAGAATCACGGCACCAGCATGGAGGCTCTTGCCGCACGGCCGCACAACAGAAGATCATGTCGGCTCCAGGCCCAGACACGACTTACCTTTGGTTAGTAGGGAATGGAAGAATGGTAGTAATAGTAGCTATAATTGTACCCCATTCCTCCATTCCCTACTAACCAAAGGTAACACGAAAGACCAGAGCAGAAAATCAGAACATGAACGACGGCCAAAGCCGGAGTCAAACCCTGAACCCAACTGACCCGCTCCTGCAAGGAAGCAGAGGGCCGCTACGCTGCGGAGCTGTGGTGACACAGCGCAAGAGGCGCTGCCGTCTCCTGTACTTGCACAGGATTGCAAACTTGACAGTCAGACTTGACGTCGAAGCGTGACTCTGCAGCGAATGCACTGCGCGGACGCCTGAGCAAGATGGAGCAGGCCAGGCAGCACAGCGAGAGCTGCAACTTCAAGCTGGACGATTCCCAGCGAAGCAAGGCCGGCGCCGAAGCGCCATGACCGAGGCCGAAAGAAGCGACGAAGCCTTACAGGGACATCGCCAACAAGCTCTTCGAACTTGCTTGCTCGAGGGTCTTTCAGAAGCCCGAAAAGGCCCGGAAGAGGACCAGAAGAAGCCGCGAGGGAGTGTAACGCGCAGGGCAGGGTTGCGTGAGTATGGAGCCCTTTGAGGAGCGCCCGAACACCGGGCGGCCCTGAGCGACTGACTCTTCACAGCTTTTCGGATGTGGGCGGTTGTCAAAATTATGGTCCCTTTATGGGTACCCTAAATAATAGGTGCCGTACTATGTTAAGGACCCAACAAGGGACCCTAATTTTGACAACTACCCATGTTGCGTAGAGGAGAGTTACCTGCATTGGGAGATCGGGAAGGCCGGAATCTCGACAGATTCGTTTAGTAGTTGGGAGTTTCCGAAGCTAAGGGGTACCGTATTTAGGGGTCCTTATAATAAGGATCCTACTATTTAGGAGGGTCCCCTATTTTCGGAAACTCCCAGTTCGGACACAGACGACTTGACCAGGGTGATGCTGATGATGATGGTGATGATGATAACGATCGTAAGTAGTCGGTTTTAGTTAGCAATTGGAGTCAGCAGGACCCTGCGATTCCCGTCAAAATGAAGTCCCAAAGGTCACCGAATTTGCCTGAATGCAGACCCTGACTAAGAAAGCCAGTCCCTGTAGAAGGCAGCTTTGCAGGATACCGATCCCACTGTCGCCTTGAACCAGGTAAGTCTTAAAAGCTGGGCTTCGACGGCTGACACTCTGTGCTTTTGGGATTGGGTGGCTCCATATGCGCTGCTAAACACTCTTTTGGTGGTTGGGTTTAGGGCTTAAGCCGATCCATGCAGATGTGTGCTCAAAGCAGCGCACATCTGTTGCAGCGGCATGTGCCATGTGCCAAGCCACTCGAATGCTGTTCAAAGCTAGCAGCATGCGATCTTTGCGGCTTCTCTCGAGCACCCGAGGCTCAGAGACTTCAAAATCAAAATCACGGGACTGGCCAACTATCTCTCTTTCTCTCCTTGTGTCTGCTTCCCTCTCTCTCTTTCTCTGTCGCTCGGTCGCTCTCTCTCTCTCTCTCTCTCTCCCTCTCTCCCTTTCTCTCTCTCTCTCTCTGTCTCTCTCTCTCTCTCTCTCTCTCTCTCTCTCCCTCCCTCCCTCCTTCTCTCTCTCTCTCTTTCTCTTTCTCTCTCTGTCGTTCTCTCTCTCTCTCTGCCTCTCTTTCCCTCTTTGGTTCGCTCTCTTGGAGTTGTTCGACCTTCAGAGCTATGATAATATACTTGTAGAAGTCCCCAGTCTGATTCCTCACGCCTTCAGCTTCCTTCGTCTTGCAACAGAAAGTTCCCGGTATCCGAAGATTGAAGGCGAGATCCTGAACCGTTAGGCCCTACTTAGAGGATCATGGGACTTAGTAAGTAGGGTTATAAGTACCTTAATTAAGGTCATAGGTAGATAAAGCTATAGTTATCTTACTTGTAACCCTACTTATTAAGTCCCATGATCCTCCACAAAACCCTATTCTAGCTGTTAAGGCCACTACACTACACTCATCAAGGTATGATGGTCTTGAACACATGGGTCGTACATTACTCCCAAGGCGCCCAACTCGCCAGATCCCCCAGAGCTTGACCCCCTTATACCATCGAACAGTCTTAAACCCTCCACCCTGAATCATAAACCACCGAAGTGATACTTCGCTTGTACCGCTCATTCTTCAACTCCAAGCTTTCGAAGCTGCGCAATCTTTCCATCCGTGGCCCGAGAAAGCCCCATACACACGAGACCCTTTTAATCCCTTAAAAGTGCCAAACCCAAATCCCTAAACCTCGAAAAACCTTAAGGCCCCCAAAACCCTAAGACACTAGAAGCCCTAAACCCGAGACCCCAGGCCCTAAACGAGCCTCCCAAGGTGTGACATCCACAAGGATGCCGTGGTCTGCCAAGAAGCCAAGGCCGGCCGGGGGTTCAGGGCTCCTGGAAAGGTTCCTCCCGGGGCCGCTTTAAGGCTTCTCTTCTAAGGGCTCGATTCGCCTTTAAGGGTTCCTTTACTTGGAGGATCAGGGGACTTCGTAAGTAGGGTTATAAGCACGGTAACTATGGATATATCTACTTATAACCTTAGTTGAGGTACTTATAACCCTACTTACTAAGTCCCATGATCCTCCAAGTAGACCCTAAACCCTACAACCTTATAGTACCCCTAGAGATCCCTTAAAGGAGCCCTTGAAGGAACCCTACTAAGTCCCAGGACCTCTTAGGGCTCCTTGAAGGTTTCTCCTTCACGGGTTCCTCTAAGGGATCCTTTAACATTTACGGTTTAGGGTTTAGGGTTTAGGGTTTAGGGTTTAGGGTTTAGGGTTTAGGGTTTAGGGTTTAGATTCGAGGGTTCCCTGTTCGGTTTCCCTTGAAGGGTTCCTGAAAGGTCAGGCAGGAGGCCACAGGTTCGCAGGGTGTTTCCCTGAAGTTCTAAACCGTAAATCCTGAACACCTGATCCTTAAAGCCCCAAGCTTAAATCCTTCAGAGTAAGAGATGCGTCGTAGTGGCCCATAAAGAGGGATCCGAACACATACCAGTCCCGTGAGTTCTTCGAGACGAGCCAAGTTGTGCTGCACGTGAATGTTGAGATCCTATTCCTTATAAAATACATAAATGGTGTTTATTCAGCTTTTCTTATGAAGTACCTGTTATACCTTATACAGTGTATAATATACGAGACGTTATATTCTGAGTCTTCGTTCTCAGACTTGTTTCCTTAGTAGCAAGGTGCAGGGCACCCACAGCATCAAGGTGGGCGAGGGAACGGCTTCTCGTATGCATGGACAAATCAGCTGCTGCTGGCTGCTGTCAGAGCTTCATGCGTTTGAAGGGCTTGGGTGTTTAGGGTTCAGGGTTTAGAGTACAGAAGGGACTGCTCTTAGAGTACAGGGTTTGGTGCAGTCTTTACAGGTGAGCCGGGCAGGTGTTTCACTGTCTGGCTGAGAACACGACTTCTTGGTCACAGGAAGCACAAGCGCTTCCTCTTCGCCTTCCACAACGACGAGCAAACTTACGACTCAGACCCTCAAATACTAAGGCTGCTCGCAATGCTTACACGTGCTTCCCTAAACCCTAAACCCCAAATCCCAAAACTCTGATGCGTCTTCACTTGTTTATGCCCCCTTGCATCTCGAGCTTCGCAGGGCCAAACATGCCAAAGATCTCTACATCTCCAGCGTTTGCCAGACCCTAAGCCCTCAAAGCCCAGGTCATTCATCCCGCCTGCATCCTCCATGCAAAGGCGCGAGGGTTCGAGAGCTTTAAACGCTGCGTGATTGTTTTAGCAGCTAACTTTTCTTCATGAGCATCTGGAGTGGCATGTGAAGTCAGGCTCATAATCAGATGGAGATACTAGTAGTGAACAATCACTATCATGTAGTATTCCCGGTGTGCATGCTGGAAGATGCAAGTCTGACTTGCTGGGGGAGGGGTGCTATGGAGTGGCCAAAGATTCGAGGTGCTCCATCTGTTGTGCTATGAAAAACTTGCACCACTTGCTTAAGGACTTGCCCCTTCCTGATTGAGTCCAGGCCGGCCCAATCGTGATCGGCCGATTCAACGTGCTAGAGGCAGATGTACGTCCAAGGGGGGAAGCAACAGGCTTTCAAGCCTTTCAGCAAAGTAGTCTGGGGCGCAGTTTCTCTTTGGTGCGCCTCAGGATCATGACCCCAACAGAATCCTGTACAACCCAGATAACCCCTTGCATAACCCCATATAAGGCCCCGTGTCTAAGCTTATCTGAACTTGATTCGTTTGTCCTGAAGCCTTCAGCTTGATACTCCCACGTCGCCGAAGCTTCAGGCTGAAATCCAATCTGGCAGAAGTCTAGGGTGCAGGGTCTACTTGGAGGTTCGGAGTAGGTACTAAGTAGAGTTCTAAGCACCCGAAATTGGATCCTAGGGTACTTAGAACTCGAAAAAAAAACTACTTTCCAAGTCCTCCGACCCTTTGTTATGATGTGGAGCACATGGCGCATTCAGGGTTTAGGGTTCAGGGTTTAGGGGGGTGAAGGAGTCCTGAACCCAAAAGCCCGGCCCATGAGTCCCCCCCCCCCCCCCCCCCCCAACATGATCCCACGAGCGCCGCACGGCACGAACACGATCCTGGACCCATCAGACTAAACCCTAAAACCCACACCAAACAGAGAAAAGACCACCCTAAAACCCTAAGCCCACAAAGCCTAAACCCTAAACCCCTAAATCCCTAAACCCTAAACCCTGAAAACCCTAAACACCCGAAACCCAGAAAGCCCCGAAGGAGCAGGTGGAGGTCGTCAACTCCTCGGACCAGCCCCTGGTCATCGGCGACCACAATGTCTTAGAGGCGCCTGAAGCCGTTTTGGGTTTAGGGTTTAGGGTTTACTTAGAGGATCACGGGACTACCTTAATAAGGGTTATAGTACCTTAATCAAAGTACTTTATAATCAGGCTTATAAGTAGATATAAGTGTAGTTATCTTACTTATAACCCTACTAAGTCCCATGATCGTCTAAGTAGGGTGACCACCATGTCTTAGGGGCACCTGAAACCCAGTGGCTTTATGGGGTTTTGTGGGTTTCTACACGGGTTTTTATAGGTTTTTATAGGGTTTTATGGTTTCCAAAGGAGTTTTTGAGAGGGTTGCGCATGTCTTTAGAAAGGTTTTCTTGCGGCTTTGTGGCCTTCTCCAACGCTGCAAAACCGCCGCAGAAAATCCTGTACAAGATTCATACGCACCTTTTCGAAACAAACAGCAGAAACTCTGACTAAACCCACCAACCACATACAAGAGCCTTATAAAGCAACAGCAAAACAAAGCCCTACCCAAAGCCCCAAACCTTAAACCCTAAATCCTAAACCCTAAACCCCAAACCCTAAACCCTAAGCCCTAAACTCTAAACTCTAAACCCTAAACCTTAAACCCCTGAAACCCTAAAACCCTAAACCCTGAAACCCTAAACCCTGAAACCCTAAAACCCTAAAGCCATATACCCGAGCCTGCCGGAGAGGTGGGCGCCCGGGTCCTCGGAGGCGGCGGCCCCCGCCTGGGCGACGCGAACCTCCTGGAGCCGGGGACCCCAAAGGGGGTGGGTTTCTTAAAGCAGCTCCTTGAACGGAGCCCTTAAGGGAGCCCTTAAGGGGAGCCCTTAAGGGAACCCTTAAGGGAACCTTTAAAGGTTACCCTTAAAGGTTACCCTTAAGGGAACCCTTAAGGGAACCCTTAGGGGGAACCCTTAGGGGGAAACTGTAAGGGCTCCTGTGAGGTTCGTTTCTAGGGGTTCTATGGGCTTTTGGGGCCCAGAGAGCTTCGCAAGCAGGGTTATACGTACCTTAATGCGGGTTCTAAGCAGCTATCACTGTAGTTGCCTCGATTGCAAACCTACTTCCTAGAATGAGGTTCTTCGTAACGGGTCTAGTTTTTTGGTTAAGGGGTTCTAAGGCAGGGTTCTTCAAGGTTTTGACAAGGTTTGTTTTTCAGGCAAGGCTTTATAGGGGTTTGGGTGTTTTTGCAAGACAGTTTTTTTCAAACAAAGTTGGCGATATTCAATTGCAAACTTCAGGGTTTAGGGTCTAGCACTTGGGACTGTGATGGGGTTTCGGGGGTTTGGGCCTGGGCTGTGGGGCCTTTTCAAGTTCGGACTGTGGGGCTGAAAGATTAGGCTGCAGGTGTTGAAGCCCAGTACTTCAGACGGGTGGTTGTAACCACGAACCCATCACCGTAACCCAATACAAGGAGATCCTACATCTCAAACCCTAGGTGCCCGAAGCCCCATCCCCTTTGGTCAGCGGGAAGTCGTGAAGCCCAAGTTGATTAGGATCCGGGCGACCTTGGATGAGGGCTGCTCTGTCCGGACCTCATCCACGAGCCCGGAGGTTTTTTGATCCTCAAGGTCGAGTTCTCCAATGCTTACAAGAATCGGGGTCGTCATCGTTGGAAAAAGGATCTCATAGGCTTTCAGAAAGGTGTCTTAAATTCGTTTAGCTTCTACAGGGTTTAAGATAAGGACCTTCATCAGAATGGCATATCTTATAGGTTTTATTCAGGATTTGAGGTAGGTGTCTTGATAACTCGGGCCATGTTGGAGTACGGTTTTCAGAGACTTGCAGGTTCAGACAACCGAGTCGGCTAGTTGAGCTCCTGCAGATGCCACAAAGGCGATTTGCCATGAGCCCCGTTAGCCCTAAAGCCTACAGACCCGAAGCATCCCAAGACTCAACAAGCCCGCAGAGCTCGACGGAGGAAAAATCAGCCAAAGACCTTCCTCCAAGATCCCAACCATAATCGCTGACCCTAGACCCTGGAGCCCTGAAGCCAACCAATACAATACCCAGTGAGTTCACTAACCCTTGCAGTAACGTACAGCAGCCCTTGAAGTAACCCGCTCAGTCATTCTTACAGTAGCTTACAGTAACCCTCGCAGTAACCCTTAACGTAAGCGTGAGGTTGGCAGCGGCTGCACCCTGGGCGCCTGTGCGCCACGAAAGGGCGTTGGGGTTTAGGGTTTGCGGGAATTGTTCTTAATAGTCTGCCCTTGTAGTTCCCAAAGCCCTATGCTATATCCAAGACCCTTTTCATATTGGTGAGGCCCCCCATTAGTCCAGTTTCTTGAATATTATCAAGGATCCTTCAAGAGTCCTGCGGAATATTCCTGATGTCAGGGACAAAAGCAAATCCGGTCCCTAAACCCTTAAACCCTAAACCCTGAATATGGGGCTTTCTTGGTCCTTTTGGGGCTTCAGGTACGTCCCTGAAGGAAGGCGAGGCTCTCGGCGACGAAATGGTCGTGATCGGGCTCGAGCCCCAGGCGGAGATTGCTACTATAGGGGCCTGAATAATTAGAACTGGGTTCTGTTAAAGGGTTCTTTTAAAGGGTTCCTTAAAGGGCTCTATAATTGATTTGTAGTAGGGTTCAATAGGGCCCTAAATAGTTACCCATACTATACGGGTTCGTTGTAAAGGGGTCTATAAGGGTTACTATAAGGGCTACTATAAGGGTTCTTCTGTAGCGGCCTGAGTGATTACCTATACTATTCTGGGGTTCCTAGGCCCCTGTATTATACAAACCGTATCAAAGCCTCATAAGTTCAAGAAGCAAAGAATCTTGAGAGATTTACAGCTAACCTTGAGCCCGAAGTCCTATCCTAAACCCTGAACCCTACACCCTAAACCCCAAAACCGTAACCCGGAGCCCGAAGTCCTATCCTAAACCCTAAACCCCTAAACCCTATACACCCCCTAAACCCTAAACTCCAAACCCTAAACCCTAAACCGTAACCCTGAGCCCGAAGTCCTATCCTAAACTTATTGGGCTTCAGGGTTTCCCACCCCACAAGCGGCCCCTAGGCCTGGCCTACGCCACGGCGAGCCTGGCGCCAAAGAAGCGCACGTGCAGGTGCCGTCGTTTTTTGTTGTGTTTAGGGTTTAGGGTTTAGGGTTTAGGGTGTTGCGGGGGGGGGGGGGTTCTATAGCGTTTCGACAGGTTTTCTTCTGATTTCGTGGAAAGTGTATAGGTGTCGAAGAGGTTCTTATGAGGGGTTGGGGGATTCCTCTATGGTCGCTAAAGTCCTACAGTAGTGTAAGAATATCGTAAGATGCCCCCAAAAGCACTATGCATTGAAACCCTAAACCCTAAACCTTCAAATTAGAAAATTGCAGAGCACCAGATTGCCGGGAAGCCAAAGCCTCGGTAGAGCCTCCAATATTCCTGAATTAGGGAATATAGCGTGAATCAGAGAAGGGATCCCATGATATTTTAGGGGAGATCCAACATATTTTAAGAAATCCTGCGATGTTCCAAGGTATATGCCGTAATTAAGGGTCTCTGGGTGTGAATGAGAACCTCGTTTTTCTGGGGTTTATGGCTGAGGGTCTGGGGCGGGCGCAGAAGATCTGGGAGTCTACCAGGTCTGGGTGGTTTTCTTAAGGATGTAGCTGTACTATAGGGGCCTAAATAATGACCTATACTGTTTTTTTGGGTTCCTTGACCGGGCCCCAAAACACAATTCCAATTATTAAGGCCCCTATATTCGACCCTACATACTATAGTATCCTTGATAAGGGCACCTAACAAAGGACCCTAATGCAAGAAGGCCCCTGATGTGGCAGGCCGTCCTGAAGTACATCGAGGTGCTGAAGGAAACCTTGTCGGGGCCTCGGTCGTGTCGGCAAACGAGGACAACCATTGCGACCATCGAGCAGCGATTTCCTGCGAAGAAGGGCAGTTAGGGCTGAGTCAATCGGTCCTGTGGGACGCTTCAGGAAGATCGTGGGTAAGGCCCGTTGCACTAACAGTGCCAACGCACTAACAGTGGCAAAAGGGGAAAAGAGAGGGACGCAAAGAGAACTGCCATTGGGCCTTCCGGTCACTATACCCTAAGGTTGCTGTAGTCGGTGCACCCGGCAGCTGCGCATCCTTGTGGTTGTCGCCCCGAGCTCCTAGATCCAAGATCCAAACCAACTCCAACCCTCTCCTCTGCTCGCTCTTCTCGCCTCGCGCGGTGCTGTAGCGGGGCTTTCCAGGGTTTGGGAGGGGCTTAAGGGGGTCATGGGACTTAGCAAGTACGGTTAACATTAAGGTAGCTATAGTTATGTTATATCTACATATAACCCCAACTAAGGTACCATAGCCCTACTTACTATGTCCCATGATCCTCTAAGTAGGGCAAGGGTTACAAGTGGAGTACAACTATAGTTATATCTACTTATAGCCCTAGTCAAGGTACTTCTAACCTTAGTTACTATCTGCCATGATCCTCTAAGTAGGGCAAAAGGGTCGACCCACACGAGGCCGCGGTGCCACCACCTGCGCAAGAGCAACGTGAAGTCCTGAGTCTGGCCGCGAGCTGCGGCCTTTCGCTTGAAAAGGCGGTTGGGTTTAGGGTTTCGGGTTTAGGGTTTAGGGTTTCGGGTTTAGGGCTTCGGGTTTCGGGTTGAGGGTTTAGGGTTTAGGGGGGGTGCCGCCGAGGCGGAGCTCACGCTGTGAAGATTGTTCTTAGGGCTCCTCATTAAAACCATACCAGAATGTAGTCCAAAGCCGTATTCTAGTTCCAAAAGCCCCTACATTATGCTGGTTCGGGCCAACCCTAAACCCTATAAACCCTAAACCAAGTTCTCGAAGAAGGTTTCATTGCTGGCCGTGCTGCTGTAGGGCTCCAGCAGTCGGACGCAGCACTCCACTTAGACCCCCGAACTACCCTCTAATAATTTTTACTAATTCTAATATACCACAGTTTTAGTGTTTAGGGTTTAGATGGGTTTAGGGTACCATAAAAAGCCCACTATTGAGGACCATAAGTGCTCCATTAAAGGGCCATTGGGAGGTCCTGCCAGGACCTAAGTTTTAAACCTTTGCGGTTTCTGACAAGTCCAGGCCTTGGCTTTCATGAGGGTTTCGGGGCAGTTTCCTGGAGTCGTACAACCTGACTGTCCAGCGCTGAGGGTGCATTGTGCAAAAGGGTGGAAGTATTTTGAAGATCAAACCCAGAGAGCCCAATACCCCTTAATTAAGGAATGTGGCTTAAATTATATAGGGCTTCATATTATGATTTAAGCCATATTCCTTAATTAAGGGGTTTTGGAGGCTCTGGGAAAGCCACTCTGTCACTGCCATGGCTGCAGCGCCAAGGCTGAGGTGCCAGGCCTCCGTGGCGTGTCAGAGTCTTCGCTACTAGAGGATCGTAAGTAGGGTTCGTTTAGGGTTCCTTTAAGGGTTCCTTTAAGGGATCTGCAGGTAAGGGTTTAAGGTTTAAGGGTGTTTAGAGTCTACTTAGAGGATCATGGGACTTAGTGAGTAGGGTTATAAGTAAGGTCACAGTCCTCTGAGTTAGACTACTTACAGCAATCACAGAGCGATTGCATTCAGGGGAATTCAGCCAATTCAGGTGCCACTCCAAACCTGGAAACCCTTTAAAGTCTAGAGGTGCCTATACACTTTACCGTAGGTCTGAATACGTGCCGTGCACAGACGCTCTACAGTGACAAGTCCTGTTCCTATTGGGTTTAGGGCCGGAAGCTCACAGGGGTACGGGGTACAAGTTCTGTCGGATGTTCAATGTGAGCACTTGGAGTTCTGCGCAGGTGTGTTTCTGAACGGGTGGAGAGGTAGAGCTTCACGATATGTGGTGGCGGCGATCGCGCTTTCCGTGTCACGCTGCAGCTGTTCCTCTCCCGGCCTTCGCAGCCGCAGGCCAAGGGTAGAGATGTCGCGCGGGAAGCGAGTGGTGAGCCTTTGTGATAACCCATGAGGCGCCTGAGAGGTTCCGGCTGGCTTCTGGGCAGTTTCGTGCTGGGCCTGGCGGCTTGCGGGCCCCCTTGGTGGAGAAAGGGCCGGCCGAGGACGGTGCGCATTGGCGCGGAGGTGGAGCTGTTGTCCCGCCTGGCTGAGCTGCTGGTGCCGCAGACGCCCACCAGGGAGGTGTTTCGGGAGTTCCCTGTGGGGCCCGCACGAGAGCCGCGCTGGCTGAGCCCGGGCATTGCTGCCTATGGCGTGCTGGAGGATGATGGCGCAGCTCTGTTCGTCGAGTACGATGGAAGCGATGGGCGTCTGGATGCACAAGGTAGTCGGGATGGGTGTGCGACGGAAGCTCTTCTCCAGTACGCGCCCCAGGGCTCGCGCGTGCTGCGAATAGGCCACACAGCACGAAACTCGAGAGAGCAGGATAATACAGTGGAGGCGATCGTGAATGTGTGGCGCGAGGGGCATGAGCCATCCCTGACGAAAGCTGTGAGCCAAACTGCATGGGTCCTGCTCAGCAGTTGTGACGTTGCGCTTCGAAAGGATGTTCATCAGCGTCTCCACCGATTCGCTCTCACAGATCCCAAACCAGGCTTCCGCAAGGCGTGCGAGTTTGCAAGGAAGGCATTGCATACCAGCGACGTCGAAGCGAAGAAGAAGGCCAATGTCATGGCTTTTCTGGAAGAGGATCTCGGCTTCTCGAAAAGCCAAAGCCAGACTGTGGTAGGGAAGTTTCCGAGAATGTCTGGTATGAATATGAATGGCAAGTTGAAGCCTACTGTGATGTGGCTCGAGGATACTGGGCTGAGCCGAAGTCAGGTGGCCAAAGTCGTTTCTAGTTTTCCTCATGTGCTGGGCTACAGCATCGAGGCTAACCTGAAGCCCACTGTTGCCTGGCTTGAGGCTGTTGGTCTCGGTCGTCAGCAGGTGGCCAACGTCGTTGCCACATATCCACAGGTTTTGGGCCGTAGCCTCGAGGCCAACTTAAAGCCCACGCTGACTTGGCTCGAGGATGTCGTTGGTCTGAGCCGAAAGCAGGTCGCCAAAGCCATTGCGGGCTCTCCAAAGATCTTGAGCCACAGTGTCAGGGAGAATCTGGAGCCTACCGTAGCCTGGCTTGAAGAGATTGGGCTGAGCCCGCAACAGGTGGCCAAGGCTGTTGCGGGCCTTCCTTCAGTCTTGGGTCTCTCCGTTGAGGCGAATCTGAAGCCCACGGTAGCATGGCTAGAAGATCTTGGTCTGAGCCGAAAGGAGGTGGCGAAAGTCGTGGCTGGTTCTCCTCAGGTTTTGGGTCTAAGCATCGAGGCCAGCTTGAAGCCCACGGCTGCATGGCTGGAGGACGTCGGGCTGACAAGGCCACAGGTGGCCAAAGTCCTGACAGAGCACCCTTCAGTCGTGCGGTACAGCCTCGACTCCAATCTGAAACCAACTGTGGCTTGGCTGGAGGACGTCGGTCTAAGCCGTAAGCAGGTGGCCAAAGTCGTCGCCGGCTGCCCTTCAGTCTTAGGCCTGAGCATCGAGGGTAATCTGAAGCCCACCGTGGCCTGGCTCCAGGATGTTGGGCTGAGCCGCAAGCAGGTGGTCAAAGTCGTTGCTGGTTTTCCGTTCATTTTGTCCTACAGCACCGATGGCAATCTGAAGCGCAAAATTGCCTGGCTTGAGGATGTTGGGCTGAGCAGAGAGCAGGTGGCCAGAGTCATCGCGCGCTTTCCTGCAACCTTAGGCTACAGTATCGACAGCAACCTGTCGAAGAAGCTGCATCTTTTGCAGCAGTTCTTCGCCAAAGAAGACATCGTCTCCGTGATCGAGCGTCATCCGCCCCTACTCGGCTACAGCTACGCTCGCCTTTCTTATCGCCTCCGGGTCTTGCAGGAGCACAATTCTTTGTTGAAGCTTCCCAGCATGATGCCTCTGACGAACGCGAGGTTCGAGCGGCGATTTGCGCAGAGTGCTCTGGCGAAAAGCGCGGGACGGTGTGCGCTGAACCGTTTCAGTTCGAGGACAGGTTGCTCTGTTTCGGTCTAAGGGGATGAGAGGAGCTGCGACTTTTGATCACAACAACTTTCCCTATCCAGAGAGCCCTTCACACCCTCACACTCCCCTCTATGCCATGTGCTCAGAGCGAGGACTGCCCCCTCATTGCTGTGGCTTGCGGTCGTTTGTTTCCGGAGGTGCTTGAGTCAGTTCGACCTGCGCAAGAGCAGCGTGAAGTCCTCGGGGCCGTGTTAAAATGGCACGTGTGTGATCTGCCTGTCGACTTGTCTGTGTGTTTTTCTGTCTGCCGGCGTTTTTGTCTGTCTTTCTGTCTGTCTGTCTGTCCGTCTGTCTGTGTGATTTTTTCGTCCGTGTGTGTCTGTGTGCGTGGGGAGCTGTAGTGTGCTTGAAACCAGGCCCTCGTGAACCTAGAATCTTGTGCTGGAGATGTTGCCCGACTTTTAGAAGACTGGCCGGACGTTGCCGAATCATTGTTAGTTGAAGACCGGTGGCTCCCTGAACCCCTGAACGCCTCATCCACCAGACCTTGCGGCCGACTGCGAACCGGCTACGTAGCTTCGGGATCACGGGCTTCTGTTGCTTTCCTGGGGTAGTCCATGGGCGTTTGCTTTACAAAAGCCAGGAGCCTCAACCACAATATGACAATATAGGTATATCATAGTTCCTGTTTTTTTCTGCAGATAACCTAGGTAAGTCAGAGTTTCCGGGAGTCCGGGCCGGAGGAACTGTGGTTTTCGTGGAGGGTTTGCTGGCTGGCAGGCCGCTTCTAGCCAGAGAGAGAGTGCAGAAGCTCGATTGCGGTTTCTCATCATGTCGTGAAGAGAAACGAGGGAGCTTTGTACCTCACGTTGCTAGTCTCTCCCAACTGTTTGTTGCCCCCACAGAGCCCAATACCCCTTAATTAAGGAATACAGCTTAAATCATAATATGAAGTTTAAGCCATATTCCTTAATTAAGGGGTATTGGGTTCCCTTAACCCCTAAACCCTATAGATGCCCTTCAAGGAACCCTAGGTATTCCTTTATAATTAACGGGTATTGTGCTCTCTGGGCCTGTTGGGTAGATTCTGCGCAATGCCGCAAGACCCGAAAGGCCCCGAAGACCAGTGGGGCCATGGCTTTTCAAATACTACTATAATGAGTATGATTAATATGATTGTAATTATTATTATTATTACTATTACTATTACTATTATTATTATTATTACTATTACTATTACTATTATTCTTATTCTTATTATTATCATTATTATTATTATCATTATTATTATTACTACTATTACTCATACAGATGTTTCTAGTGGGTGGTTGTGAAAGTTAGGGCCCCCCTTGGGTACCCTAAATTATAGGTGCCGTATTATAAAGGGACCATAATTTTAACGCTACGCCGCCCGCCTCGGCTCTTTAGCGGCAGGGCGAGGGGGCAGTCGATGTTGTATAGATGCTAGGGGGGCAGCCATCTTTTTGCTTCAGGAGGAAAACGGTGGCAGGGGGGGGGGAGGGGGGGAGGGGGGGGGGGGGGGGGGGGAGGGGAGGGGGGGGGGGGGAGGGGGGGGGAGGCACAAATCAGGTATAATCAGGTAAAATGAAGGGATTCAACGAATGCAAAAACAGGGTGTCTCACGTTTGGACTGCAGGGAGGAGGATTAGGTGGAGGCCCAAGACGCCTGGGCCTGTGGCCTCGGCGGATTTTGACAACCACCCTAGTGCAGATGTAGTGTTGACTGACCCGACGAGTTCCACGGCTGCCGGAACAAAGGGTACGAGACGAGGCGATGAGGCACCAAATTAAGGCAACATAGGACTTCAATCGCTACTTTCGTGCACACAACCCGAAGGTGTCAACACAGAGGCTTTGAATCGAAGTGATATCACACACACGCACACAGAGTCCGTCATGAGCCAGACTTATCATCCAGTCCTCTCGAGACCAGAAGAAGCGATGTCAAGCCCAACCTGATAGCCTTGAGTTGTCTGGGTTTTTTTCCGATCCTAGAGCCGCGCTTTTTAGTAAGACTGCTGCTGTTGCCGGTTGAGGGCCTCGCTACTCCGGGGGTAATGTGTGTCAGAAAGATAGGCGGTTGAGTTTGAGGGCCTTGTATTTCGCTTTGAGGCAGAACGCCTCTCCATGTCAAGCTCAAAACGCTCCTCTCGTCGTCTCCGCATCTCGAGGGGAAAGCGTAGAGATGACATGCGTGAAGAGTATGGGATGCTGTGAGGTTTCATGGAGGCGCCTGAGAGGCTCCGGCTGGCTTCTGAGCTGTTTCCTGCTCGGCTTGGCGGCTTGTGGGCCGCCCTGGTGGAAGAAGGGCCGGCCGCGCAAAATGCACCGCAGCTATACCGAAATCGAGCTGTTGTCCCGCCTGGCTGAGCTGCTGATGCCTCAGACGCCCATTAGGGAACTGTTTCGGGACTTCCCCGTGGGGCCCTCGCAAGAGCCGCGCTGGCTCAGCCCGGGCATAGCTGCGTTTGGCGTGCTGCAGGACGAGCGTGCAGCTCTGTTCGTCGAGTACGCTGGAAGTGATGGGCACACAGATGCTCAGGACGGCAAGGGCGACGAGCTTAAGACGAACGCTCTGCTCCAGTATGCACCCGAGGGCTCGCGCGTGCTGCGAGTATGTCACACAGCACGAGACTCGAGAGAGCAGGATAATACAGTGGAGGCGATCGTGAATGTGTGGCGCGAGGGGCATGAGCCGTCCTTGATGAAAGCCGTGAGCCAAACTGTGTGGGTCCTGTTGAGTAGCTGTCACATTGCGCTTCGAGAGGATGTTCGTCGTCATCTCGAAGCCTTCACAGTCGACGAACCGAAACCCAGGTTCAAGACGGCATGCGCATTTACGAGCAAGCCTGTTCTGATCGAGGACATCCGATCGAAGACATCCCAGGTGCTGGCTTTTTTGGAGGGAGATCTGGCTTTCTCCAGCACCCAGGTCAAAGCATTGGCGCGGAGGTTTCCGAGAATATGGCATATCAGTGTCGACGACAGGTTGAAGCCTGTTGTGGCATGGCTTGACGACATCGGGCTGAGTCGACAGCAGGTGGCCAAAGTCGTTGCTAAACATCCTCACTTGTTAGGCTGTCGAATCGAGACCAATCTGAAGCCAGCAGTGGTCTGGCTTGAAGGCTTAGGGCTAACGCGCCAGCAGGTTGCCAAAGTCATTTCAGCTAAGCCTCAAGTGCTTGGGTGCAGCCTCGAAAACAACTTGAAGCCCAAAGTGGCCTGGCTCCAGGATCTTGGGCTGAGCCCGAAGCAGGTGGCCAAGGTCTTTGCTGGCTCTTCGTCCATCCTGGGTTGCAGTGTCAAGGGCAATCTGCAGCCAACGGTGGCCTGGCTCCACGAGGTTGGGCTGAGCCGGAGACAGGTGGCTAAAGTCATTGCTGGCTTCCCTGCCATCTTAGGCTACAGCATCGAAGCGAATTTGAAGCCCACAGCGGCATGGCTTGAAGACATTGGGCTGAACCGACGGCAGGTGGCCAAAGTGGTTGCTGGTTGTCCTCGCGTACTGGGATTTAGTATCACGGCCAATCTGAAACCCAAAGTGGCCTGGCTTCTCGACATTGGGCTGAGTCGGCCGCAGGTTTCAAAGGTTGTCTTTCGCTTGCCTCAAATGTTTGGGTACACTGTTGATGCCAAATTGAAGCCCAAAGTGGCGTGGCTTGGGGAGGTCGGACTGACACAGCTCCAGGTGGCAGGTGTCGTTGCAGCCTTCCCTCAATTGCTCAGCCTCAGCATCGAAAAGAATCTGTCTCCGAAACACCTTTTCTTGCTGGCACACTTCTCCCGTGATGAAGTCCGAGACATGATCGTACGTCTTCCTGCGCTACTGGGCTTCAGTTTCTCCCGGCTGCGTCATCGCCTACATGTGTTGCAGAAGCACAACGCTCTGTCAAGGCTGCCTCCCGCGATGACATGGACGGATGCTGACTTTGCCGAGCAATTCATGTGTTAAACCAGGTGGCCCATGTGCGTTATAGAGAAGATCATACAGCGCCTCCTTCAACCAGTGCACACATGGCGAGAGACGCGGAGCTGCCGAGCATCCTCGGAAAGGTTGTTTGCGGCTCATCAAAGCCCTGGCTCTGCAAAGTATGCAATCTCACGACTCACAAGTGGAGGCATCCCCACAGCTTCGAGACCAAGGAAGCGGACATGCTTTCTTTTGGAAGAGATCTCCAGTCCTCTACTGCTGCCGCCCTGAACTCTGACAAAGAAAGCCGGAGCCGGACGGAGTTTGGCTTAGGGTTTAGGGTTTAGGGTTTAAGGTTTAGGCACTGTGACACGGCTTGAGGATGATGGGTAGCAGGCAGCCCCTGGCAAAAGTCGTTGCTAGCCTCTTGTCGATTTTCGGTCTGAGCATCGAAGCGGACGAAAGACTTGCCTTGGATTCTCTACTGTAGTTATATCAGATATCTCTACTTATACGTTATAACCCTAATTACGGTACAGTACTTAATAACCCGATTTACTGTGTGCCATGATCCTCCAAGTAGACCCGAATCATCGGCTTCATTCCGAAAGGCGGCGGTGGCGACCTGCGCAAGAGCAGCGCGCAGTCCTGAACAGACAGAAGGCGGTGGCCGCAGCATGCTGCATTCGGCTGAAAAGAAGACTGAACGGGATGGTTTCATACTGAATTAGTGTCCCTTTCCGGGTCCTCTTTATGAAGGTGCTGTGAATTTTTTTGGCATCAAAGAAGGGACCCTACGATTAATGATATAAATCCTGCATTACCCATAATAAGGAATATACCAATAATTCCCATAGTCTAGGGGTTTTCAAGGTAATGCTGGATCTATATCATCAACCCTAAACCCTAAAACCCTATGTGGCATGGACCTTTAGGGTCTATTTGGCAATCCTGCTGGGCTTTGTATTTAAACTGCAACAACACCACGGCGACAAGGACGACGACGACTCGGTTTAGCACGACGACGACTGGGTTCAACACGGCGACGACAAGGTCTGGCACGACGGTTACATCGGGAGGCCGAAGCGTGTACAGTGCAAAAGTCTCGACAGGAGTTTAAGGGTCTAGGGTCTTAGCTCCTAACTATGGTTTACCGGGGTCAGTATACTATGGAAGATCTAAGGTTTGGAGTTTATGAGGATTTAGATGGTTTTACGCTCTTACAAGTTCTCCGTGCTGGTTTTAGGGTCTATCACAGTCTATCACAATGTCCTCCCGTCCCTCTCGCGCCGGGAACCATCAAGAATCTGTCTTGTGTATTTCTCGTCCTGTGTCTTTCTCTCATTCCCGTTCCTCTTCCTGCCTATCCACTCTGCCGTTTGTCAAGAAGACACAGAATTTGAAGTCATGACAAAGGAATCGGCATGAAGATGGACGAAGTGAACTCTTCATTCTCTATTCACAAGAAAGAAGCGCAAGCCAAAGCTACGTAATGAAAGGGCGGAAGCCCCTGTCTCCTCTGTTCTTCCTCTTTTCTCTCTTATTTTTCTCTTAGCAAAGGGCACGCATGGAGCTAGGAAAGGGAAGGGGTCAAAGCGGATGAGAGAAAGTAGCGGAGAGAGCTGTTCTTCGTCCCTCTCACCTCCTCCTCTCATTCTCCTGATGCTTGCTCATGTCAGAAGGGGTTGGAAAGGAGTGAAGGCTAGGGCATGGACTGAAGCGAGGCAATAGGTGAAAGTGGATAAGAGAAAGTCATAGACAGAGAGGGTCAAAGCGGATGAGAGAAAGTAACGGAGAGAGCTGTTCTTCGTCCCTCTCACCTCCTCCTCTCATTCTCCTGATGCTTACTCATGTCAGAAGGGTCTGGAAAGGAGTGAAGGCTAGGGCATGGACTGAAGCGAGGCAATAGGTGAAAGTGGATAAGAGAAAGTCGGGGGAAGTCGAGTGCGAAAGAAAGAGAAACGAGGAAGACTAGGAAGAAGGACACAGAAGAGGAAGCGAGAGAGTACCAGTGTTGCCGTATCTCAAAGGACTCCGGGCCTCGCGAGGGCTTTGAGGAGGCTTGTAGGCGCCTTCAGACACTTCCACAACTTTCTGGAGGCCACCAACTTCCTCCCTAAGGGAGCCTCCCGAGGACATGAACACCAAACCGAGTATAAAGAAAGCAGGGGGATGTAGAGAAGCAGAGTGTGGTAAGAAGGAGCAAGGAGAATCAGTTCGCGTCTCCTCATCGTTTCCTCTTTGAATGACCAGAGGAAAGAAAAGGATAAGAAGGAGGAAAGGCTCTGCGAAGACATCAGGAAAGAAGAGCAGACAACAGAAAGAAAGGAAGCGGTGAGATGCGGGAAGACGGTTCGGAGAAGAAAGGAGAATTCCTCCTTCGCTCGCCTCTCTTACTTCCTTGCCCTTCGCCTTCTTCCTCTTCTCTTACCCTATTCATCTTCATAAGGAAGGAGAAATGAAAGGAACGGAGAGTTCAGGGCATGCAAAGGGCACTCTTTCTCATCACCTCATCCATCCTCCTTTTCATTGTTCTCTCCAGATCCCTCTTTCTCTCTCCCTCCCTTCCCGTCTACTTCTACACATTCCCTTTTCCGCTTCTCTCCGCCTATTATGTTCGCTTTGATAAAATCGCTTGCCCTATTCCTTCTCCTCCTGGCTTTCCTGCCTCCCGTCCTTCTCCCTCTATCACTCAGAAGGAAGAAGGACGATTCACAAGAAAGAAGCGTAAGCCAAAGCTACGTAATGAAAGGGCGGAAGCCCCTGTCTCCTCTGTTCTTCCTCTTTTCTCTCTTATTTTTCTCTTAGCAAAGGGCACGCATGGAGCTAGGAAAGGGAAGGGGTCAAAGCGGATGAGAGAAAGTAGCGGAGAGAGCTGTTCTTCGTCCCTCTCACCTCCTCCTCTCATTCTCCTGATGCTTACTCATGTCAGAAGGGGTTGGAAAGGAGTGAAGGCTAGGGCATGGACTGAAGCGAGGCAATAGGTGAAAGTGGATAAGAGAAAGTCATAGACAGAGAGTGGGGGAAGTCGAGTGCGAAAGAAAGGGAAACGAGGAAGACTAGGAAGAAGGACACAGAAGAGGAAGCGAGAGAGTACCAGTGTTGCCGTATCTCAAAGGACTCCGGGCCTCGCGAGGGCTTCGAGGAGGCTTGTAGGCGCCTTCAGACACTTCCACAACTTTCTGGAGGCCACCAACTTCCTCCCTAAGGGGGCCTCTTGAGGACATGAACACCAAACCGAGTATAAAGAAAGCAGGGGGATGTAGAGAAGCAGAGTGTGGTAAGAAGGAGCAAGGAGAATCAGTTCGCGTCTCCTCATCGTTTCCTTTTTGAATGACCAGAGGAAAGAAAAGGATAAGGAGGAAGGGCTCTGCGAAGACATAAGGAAAGAAGAGCAGACAACAGAAAGGAAGCGGTAAGATGCGGGAAGACGGTTCGGAGAAGAAAGGAGAATTCCTCCTTCGCTCGCCTCTCTTACTTCCTTGCCCTTCGCCTTCTTCCTCTTCTCTTACCCTATTCATCTTCATAAGGAAGGAGAAATGAAAGGAACGGAGAGTTCAGGGCATGCAAAGGGCACTCTTCTCATCACCTCACCATCCTCCTTTTCATTGTTCTCTCCAGATCCCTCTTTCTCCCTCCCTCCCTTCCCGTCTACTTCTACACATTCCTTTTTCCGCTTCTCTCCGCCTATTATGTTCGCTTGGAAAGAATCGCTTGCCCCCTATTCCTTCTCCTCCTGCCTTTCCTGCCTCCCGTCCTTCTCCCTCTATCACTCAGAAGGAAGAAGGACAATTCACAAGGAAGAAGACAAGGGAGTAAGAGAAAGACAACAGAAGCGGAGAGACAATCCGAGAAGGGCAGAAGAAGAACGAGAGCCATAAGGAAACAAACACAGAAACAAAGAGAGAAAGTAAGAGAGAAAGACCAGCAAAAACAGAGGCAGAGAGTGAGAGAAAGGAGGGGAGGGGAAGCGATGCAGAAAGCAGTCGAAAGTGCCTTGCTTGTCCTATCTCACCGTCTCATTGGTAAAAAACCAGGAAGAGGTTGTGGAGGAAGACAAGGAAGAAGTGTTCTCGTCTTCACTCACCTTGTGCCCTTCCTCTCCCACCGCTCGTCCGCTCGACAGAAAAAAAAGAGAGTTGCGGAGAGGGCGAGAGAGAGCTTCAAGCCCAGCAGAGGAAGAAGAGAGAGGAAGATACGAGAAGTGTGGAGGAAGTGGCCAAAAGAAATGCTACGTAATGAAAGAGGGGAAACCAGTTTCTCCTCTGCTCTTCCTCTTTTCTCTCTTATTCTTCTCTTCTCGCAGGGCATGCATGGAGCCAGGAAAGGGAAGGGGTCAAAGCAGATGAGAAAGTAATGGAGAGAGCTGTTCTTCGTCCCTCTGACCTCCTCCTCTCATTTTACTCATATCAGAAGGGTCTGGAAAGGAGTGAAAGGTAGGGCATGGACTGAAGCGGGGGAATAGGTGAAAGTGGATAAGAAACAATGTTAGACAGCTTGCCGAAGGCGGCCAGCTCGCAGCTTGCCTGCGGCCTGGCCTGCTGAGCCTGGTGGGCTCTCGAGGGTGGGCAGGGGCCTGCTGAGATCCACGGCCAGGCTTGCTTTGAGGCAGGGCCAGCTGGGGAGCCTGGCCGGGCTGAGTGGGTTGGGTGAGTGAGTGGGGAGAGGGTGGAGAGGAACAGGGAGAAGAGGGTGGGTGGAGAGAGGAGGTAGAGGGAGCGCAAGGAAAAGGTGGGGAGAGGGGAGGGCGGGTGGACAAAGGGAGGGGAAGAGGAGGGAGTGGGGAGATGGGTGGAGAGGTAGAGGGAGTGGAGGGTGGGTGCGTTCTTTGGATTGTATAGTCTAAGGGTTTTCTACAAAGGGTTCCATATCAGGGATTTGTACAAAGGATCTATAGATTTCTATAAGGAGTATATAAAGACTGTGTATGAGGGCTCCATATAATCGATCTTTCAAAGATTTTTTATAAAGGACTCCATTTGTGGGAAACATAAGCGGTTCCTACAAGTTCTTTATCTCGAGGATCTGTAAGGTTTATGTAT